CATTTCTTTTGATGAACAGAAGCTTTTTAATGTTATGGAGTCCTATTTGTTCATCCTTTCTCTTAGTTGCTGAGCTGCTGGGGTTCTACTGAGGAAGTCCTTGCCTATACCTATTACTTCCAGAGTGTTTCCTGCTCCTTCCTGTACTAACTGCAGAGTTTCGGGTCTTGATAGTAAGGTCCTTGATCCATTTGGAGTTGACAGTAGTGCAGGGAGATATACATGGATCTAGTTTCTTGCAGACGGGTCACCACTTTTCCCAGCAACATTTGTAAAAGAGTCTGTCTTTTCTCCATCGTATATTTTTGGCACCTTTGTCAAAAATGAGGTGGGTATAGTTGTGTGGATTCATATCCGGGTCCTCTATTCTGACAGACGTACTTTTTAAATAGATTTCTTGTAATTCACTGAGTTAGAGATACCTGTATATAACCTATGGCTCTAGGTGAAACCAATGACATGTTACAGGTAAGAGTTATACACAGATCGCTACTCCCTGGCTCCTCTTTGTCCAGAAAGTCCTGCTGTCCACTCTACTGTAGGAGGTCTCCCTCCCTGCTGTCAAAGTTGCCGGGACTCCCACCTCCTTCCATCCTGCATTTTACTCCACCCTCTTCAATGTCCACCATGACTCATGGTTCAAACAGCCTGCCGAAAGGTACTGTGGGACTCAGGGGTTTGGCTGTATTTTGTTCCCAAGGCTCATGTGTTGGTGGAACCTTCTAAGTCCTGGTGAGAGATGATTATGTCATGGCTCCACCTGCACAAGGCATTATCCATCTCAAGTGAGTGGGTTAGTCTTGAGGGACTGGATTAGTTACTGAGAGAAAGGGATGCTGAACAGCCAGCCCATCCCACCCACCTGTTTGGCCTCTTTTATATGGAGTCCCACTATCTTCCATGTTATGACATAGCATAAGGCTCTCCCTAAACTTCCTGATCTTGGACCTTTCAGACTCCCAAACTATTTGCCAAAATAAACCTCTTTTCCTCATAAAGTTCCCAAGCTCGGGTGTTTTGTTACAGCAAGAGAAAACAGCTAAAATTTCCATCACTAAGTTTTGGGACTGTCTTAAGCCTCTGTGGCATTACTTCAATGGGAGCAGTAATAAGTTCATTAGAACTTCTTTTTTGCAGTAACTATGAACTTTGTCCCTGTTAGAGGTATAAGACAATGGTGTTATACCTGAGGAATGTGTTTTGGTTTGGAACATAAATAAATCTGTGGATGGTAAGGAAATTTATGGTATTTTACTACATTCAGTCTCATTTTCCTATTGGTAATAACTTCCCATGCATATTAAAAAATAAAGAAGTCAAATTCATAAAACTCATCTTTTTCCAAAGACTAACTGACTTTATTTCCTGTCTCTTGAATGGAATTGAAATTCAGCAATTTGCTTTTGACAGGACAAACTGAACTTCAACAGTGTACTACATTCTGCCAGAAGAGGAGGTAGCCTATGGAATTCTTGCAAGAACAGCAATGCTAGCTGGTGCCTCACGCCTGTAATTCTTGCTACTCAGGTGGCAGAGATCAGGAGGATCACAGTTCAAAGCCAGCCTGGACAAATAGTTCTGTGAGACCCTATCTCGAAAAACCCTTCACAAAAATAGGGCTGGTGGAGTGACTCAAGGTGTAGGCCCTGAGTTAAAACCCCAGTACCGAAAAAAAAAAAAATCACAACAAAGGGCTGGCAGGGTGGCTCAAGCGGTTGAGTGCCTGCCTAGCAAGTGTGAGACCTGAGTTCAAACCCCAGTGTCAGCCACTATTCTAAACTGTTTTGCATGTAATTCATTTAGTTTTCAAGAACCTTTTGAGGAACTATAATTAACCTGGATTTTATAGTTGAAGAAATTCAGGAGCAGAGAGGCTGACCTGTCCAAGGCTACCAGCTAATAATGGTGGAGGTGGGACTTAAGGCGTTATCCTGGCATGACAGTGGCTCAGAGACTTGTGTTATATACTGTCTCACTCTGGCTTAGTTATGTAGTGATCACGACTGTATTTAGAATGAGAAATGAGGATGTTATCTAGTGATCCCCAGGTACTTGGGAGGCTGAGATCAGGAAGATCATAATTTGAGGCCAGCCTGGGCAAAAAGTTCCTGAGACCCCATCTCAACAAATGGCACTGTGGCGCATATCTGGCATCCCAGCTACTCCAGCAAGCACAAATACATCACAGTCCAGAGTGTACTAAAAAAAAAACAAGAGAGAGCAAAAGGGCTAGAGACATGACTCAAGTGGTAGAATGCCTGCCTAGCAAGCACAAGGCCCTGAGTTCTAAGCCCAGTATCACTACCAAAAAAATGAAAGACAAAAGAAAATAAATTTTGTTTTGGAGATGGACCCCCAGTAGAATATAAGAATCAATAAGGAACCAATGTCTGTCTGACTCACTGCTACAGACATGCCCAGAGCAGCACAGTACCTAGGCACAAAACAGTGATTGATAAAAACCTGCTAAGTGAAAGTCACAAGGAAACTGTACTGAAGAAATGTAACAAAAACATTTTATTAGGGCTTGTGGCTGTGCTTCACAGGGGGATCCAGATACGTTCTCTGGGAGGCCTTGTTAATTTCAGTTCATTGCTATCTGGAGTTTCATTTTGGACTTTAATATTAAATGTCAAACTTCTCAAATTTTATAGGAAAAACAAGCATAAACTTATAAACAAGATCTTTTTTTTTGGTGGTGCTGGGGTTTGAACTCAGGACCTCATGCTTGCTAGGCAGGCAAACAAGATCTCTTGATCTAACTTTTCAAGGTGTCTTTAAATTTTATACCATTTAGGGCTGTGGGCGTGACTGAAGTGGTACAGCACCCCAGTACCATCACCACCACCCAAACAAAAAAAAAAAGTTTTAACGTGTAAGTTTTCTTTCCAGCTTAGTAATTCACACATCTCAAGTTCCTACAGAAAATGTCAACAGTACCAATCCATCACTTCCACAGTCGTCATTCTGGAAGATCCCTCAGCTGGATGTTTCAGGCTCCTGCCTCTGAGGCTGGGTTCCAAGCAGCTGCCTCTGTTCTGACACTTCGTGGCACTTCAATGCCCAATATTACTGGTGCTACCTAGGTTTTGCTTTGATTCCTGCAAGTCAATGGCAGTCTGAAGTTAAGTTCCTGAAGAAGTAACTAAGTTTGGTGTTTCAGACTGAAAAATGACACTCCTCCCCATCACTAGTTAATAAAATTACTCTGGTACAGTATGAACTAAGTCATGTGGCAGAAGTCTCCAACTGGATTATCAATCCACTAGACCAGCTGTTAGCTCATGAATCTTAACCATTTAAGCTCCTTCTGGGACTAGAAAGAGCGTTTATCTCTATTTGATATGTCCCTACATTTTTTTTTTTTTTGTACTGGGGTTTGAACTCAGGGCCTACATGCTTACTAGGTAGGTACTGTTACTGTTTGACCATTCCACAGCCCTTTTTTATAATGGGTTTTTTCAATACAGGGTCTTGAGAACTATTTGCCCAGGCTGGCTTCGAACCTCGATCCTTCTGATCTCTGCCTGCTGAGTAGTTAGGATTACAGGCGTGAGCCACCAGCACCTGGCTGATTGTTTTGTTTTTTTAAAACATACATTTTGTTGCCCAGTTATTTAAAAAGCATTACAAAGCATTCTCAGGCGGTTTTGTAAACTGATCACTGGCAAGGTCTCTTGGCCCCTTTTCATGTATTTATGGATATCAAGTAACTCATGCAACTGTTGGCCTTTTAATGACCTTCAGTACTGCTTGTTAGAAGAGATGAAGCCTAAATAGCACAGAGATGCATCGGAGGCTCCCTCACAGCTCAAATACATAGACATCTTCAGGTACATTTCACGGCCAATCTAAAATATTTATAGTCTTTCTAGTAGTTCTAGCTAGAAGGCTGTATTTTGTCACTTAAAATTCTCAAGATTAATTCAGTCAAATATTAGTGACCCCTCTCCCTATCTTCTTTTAAAGGAAAACGGTGAAAAACATTTTTTTGTTTAAGTTTTGGTATAATTAAGTTCCCCATAAATACAACATTCCAGTGTCAGATGGAAGGCGGAGGCTTGGAATCATTCTTTTGTAACTCTTATCTTCTTAATTAGGAAATCCAAGCTATCCTAACCCAACTCCCCTATTTTGCAAACTGAGGGCCTGAGTAGTAGAATTAGTTGAAACTCGGGTTCTGGCTCCTAGCCTGATGCTCTTCCAACTGTTCCAAGATTGCTGGATTAAGCACTGATGCAAAAATATGACAAAAGCGTTTCAAATTAATGTACGACCATGTGACAAACAGCTATCCCCAAGGTGAGTGTTGAAGCAAGCGGTGAATGTTTTACAAAGTAGTCCTCACTTATCCATGAGGGACAAATTCCAAGATCCCTACTGGGTGCACAAAAATGCAGACAGCACTATACAAGTGCATTTTTATCACATATATATATATATATATGGTTTCTTCCTACACATACGTATCTATGATAATGTTTGGTTTTTGTAAATTAGGCACAGTAACAAGTTAAAAGTAATAAAACAGAGCAATGGAAATATGTAATACAATTACAGCAGCTGGGACCACTCTGGGTAAAGTTAAGGATTTACTTCAACTTAAGCACTGTGACACCTCCACAGATAATCTGGTAACTGGGAAACCTACAGAGTAGGTAGCATATAGACAGTGTGGACATGCTGGGCAAAGGACAATTCATGTCCCCAGGGAGATGGTGCCCAACAGACAGTAAGAGATTTATTTCATCATGCTACTCAGAAGGGAGTGCAATTTCAAACTTATGAAATTATTTTTTTCTGGAATTTTCCATTTAATATTTTTGAGCCTGGCATAACAAAAACCACAGAAAAAGCAATCTCAGATAAGGTGGAACCAGTATTGAAATCAAGCGAACTCGACGCTTCCAACACTGCCCAAATGTGACATCTAAATGGCTAAAATTATTATTAGCTTTCTAAAAAGGAACGTCAGTAGGGAAAAATTATGACTAAGCAAAGAACTTCCAGTTTTTATTTTTAAAACATTATTTCACAAGGAAACATTGAGCCAAATGTTAAAATGGATTAATTTACAATAAAATAATCAACTTAAAATATCAGCCCTTTCAGCTAGGGCCAAGGAGGTCAACAGTTCCCAGTTACACAGCAAAATTGCACAATTGATATTTTACCTAGGCTTGATGGCACAGAATTGTAAGTCATACAACTTGCATTGACACTTCCTTTTCTCCAGAGTAGAGTCAAACACTTGCCTCTTAGGTTGGTACTCAGACTTTTTAATAAAATCAGTTACATTTTGAAATATATCTACAACTAATCTGATGAGAACACTTTGCAAACAATTCTTATAGACAACAAATACCTTAAAATAATTTTGTGGCACATTAGACTGCTTAAAGAAACAAAAAAGATGAAAAGTAATGTACAAGATTTAGTTCCTGGTTTATAGAAACCATCCAAATACTTTCCCTAATTAATTTATCTCATTTCTTATAATTTATTAGCAGAGATCTATTACAAGAAGCAGAATGCACCATTTTTGGTTGTGGTTGTAGCTGCCAGCTTGAGTTCATGACTAAATACAAAGCAAAATATGAGGATGCTTCTAAATTCTGGACTGGGAAGAAACCCAAAATCTCTTTAAAAGTTTTTGTCTATCTTTGCTATCAAGTCACAACAAAGAATTCACAGCAGTTTTAAAGGATGTGAAAGAGTAAAGAGAGGCCCACTATAACAAAATCGAGATTAATTTTACACATTATATTCTTTAAGGAAAACCGTAATAAGTATGACATATTACCAAGTTAGCATTCTACATAGTAAGCTACTGGAGCAAACACAGCACTTGAGATGCATTTACAGATTAGGCATGGTCGCCGTTAGACGGAACATCTTATTTTTATACTGTCCAATGAGCAATCCTACAAAAACAAAGATAAAGGAATACGTAATTCATGACAGCTGGCCAGGCACTTCAAACTGGGGAAAGTGATTCTGAGGTAAATCAGAATTATTTTCAGCAATCACAAACATATTCCAAAAACTATTTTATACCACACTAGCTGGACTTATTCTGCTTTTAACTCTGAGCTTGTCACTCATACTGTCAAAATTCCTACCTAAGTTTAACTTCTTAACAAGCTTTTAAAACAGCATTTCAAGCCTGAATTTTGGGCCCATTTGGATACTTCTGTGCTTAGAACACAGTTAAGAAAACAAGAGGACAAATTACATACCAGGGAAGTTCCTAAAGGCTTCGGTGGAGTAACTGTCTCTCTAGCTTGACATTAAATTTAATCTACTTTCAGAAAGAATCACATTGGCAAACACATAGACACATAACAAAAGAACATGACTGAGGTGACAAGCCTCAATCTAGCTTCAGCAGATGGCACAGCAGTGCTCCAAAAGGTGCAGAAACAAAGCAGTAGTTCCACTCACAGCTGACAGTCTACTGTGAATGATCCCAGCATCAGCATCACGGAGCACAGCTCAGCTTATCATCTTCTGGGCACAATGCATGTTTCCTCACCTCTTCTGAATTCATTTCAAGATAATGTGGAATTTGCTTAATCGATGAAAATTCATATTAGAAAACAAAGGACCAGCAAGTATTAAGACATTAGAAGACTGGACAAGAAAGTAGCTATTTGGAATTAATCTATTATCAAAAGTTATCCAAGTCCATTTTTTATTACAATTACTGGGGCTGGGCACGAAGTTCAGGGACAGAGCATGTGTGAGGCACTGGTTCCATCCCAGCAGGGCGGGGTAGGAGTTACACCAGGGCATTATCTGCAGGGGCAATGCCAAGCACATCCTCTTATTGGTTAATTACATTTTCCATTCTTTGCTCAAACAGCAACTTCAAAGCCTATTTCCTGTTGTGAATAAATCATCTGTTTTCATTATCTGGCATGCAGACTAATCTATTAACATCTGTTTTGAACCCTTCAAGGAACATTATAAATAAAGACTTTAAAATGCTTTTATCTGACACATCCTGATTCTCAAAAAATGAGAAAAAATATTAGCTTTTTAGTTTCCAGGGGGCTAAAAAAAAAGGGTCTAAGTATTTATAGACTTCTAATTGATCCTCCTTAAGCTCAAGCTTTTCTAGTCACAATGAAGATGGTACTAACTAACCTCTTCTTGTCTTGCAGGGCTAACAGCAGGAATACACAAAACCACGTGGAAGAATTTTTCCCTCCATGATGGTAACTGGCTTGTTCAAGTTTTGAAGCTGTGACCCTGGTCCATTAGCACCATGGCTGACTAAACTGAAACAATGAAGCCCCTGTTACTGTGGGTGAGGGAGAGGGGTGGAGGGAGAGGGGGATCTAGGGCAATTATGTCATTAACAGACTAGGATATGCAGTGAAGATGTAATTTGTTAACATACTTGAGGTTAGAAAATCACTGGTCATAGCAATAAAACACACCAATATTTTTGTAATATTTGAGTAACTGAAATTGTAGAGCTAATATGACCAAAATTTGATTATAAATGGAAGTTCATTGAATATTAGATTATCAGTAAGCTAGAAGAAACAAATTATACACATTTACAGGTAGTAATCTACAAAAGAATGGAGATTAAGATAAAAATGAAGTGAAATTATTCATAATTGTTTCCAGTTTCATCCTTCTGCTGGGAGACCCCAAAACACAGGCCTCTGGAAAACATTTTCATATGAAATGGCACCTGCTAGTATGTAGGTGTGTCTTTCCCTCAAAGATAGATGGGTTACAGATACTCGCTTTCATGTATCATGGTTTTTGAGACATACATTCCACTGAAGTACTGTAAGGAAGTCTATGAACCACTTCTAGGAAAAAGGCACTTTGTTGTGAAAATCGGATTTAATTTCATGAATGTCAAGATGACTAGGATGGACTCAAAAGTCAGTATTCACTTTTGTATTTATGAAGACAGAGCAGATACCAATTTATAGAATATAGCTGATAATATTATGACCAAACCAATCACCAATATTAATTATATTCTTGGCAAAACAGCAATTTATGACATTTCTCCAAAAACTAACATAGGTCCAGGTTCAACAGTAAAAAGAAAAAAAAAAAAAAATCACCAGCAGTTGCTACTTAGAGCTCAGGAAACTGTTTTCAACAGAATTTCATGTCTACAGTTTGGTTCTCTGTTTCAGAGGATGAATCGCTTTTCAGATGAAAAACCTGGCTGGTGGAGGTTTGTTTGTTTTGGGGAAAGGGGGAGAACTCAGGGCAGAAAATTACTGGGGAATAACAGGAGGTGCATTTCTCTGGTCAGACACCCAATTGAGGAGGTAGTTATTCTGAGAAGTTCTCAAGTAGATGCTGTGTGCTCATCTACTGAGAGGTGGGGAAGTGGCAGAGCTTCTCCAATATAAACAGCAACAGGGACACTTCTCCTCCAGGGAAGTCAGGACCAGGGGATCAGTGCAGCTGTAACAGAGATGGAATGCATGAGAAAAACAAGTGTAAGAACTCAGTAAGAATGACAATACATTTTCAAACTTGCCCTACCTTGAAAGTGGCTCTTTTCTGATGATAGAACTTTATAGAAGTATCTAGAAGAAAAAGACACACACCATGTAATTATCATTTAGTTTCCATGTAGTGATCCTTCAAACTTGAGTTCCATGCCAAGAGGATGACACATATATTTCCTGAATAGTATTTTTCTTTCTTCTTATTTATTTATTTTTTTTGGGTGGAACTGGGGTTTGAACTCAGGGCTTCACGTTTGCAAAGCAAGTAATCTACCACTTGAGCCACACCTCCAGTCCATTTTGCTCTGGTTATTTTGGAGATGGGGTCTTGTGAAGTATTAGCTCTGGTTGGCCTTCAGCTTCGTTCTTCCTGATCTGTCTCCCAAGTAGACAGGATTACAGGTGTAAGCCACTGGTACCTGACTAGTATCTTCTAATTTCTAATATCAAAAATAGATATGTCAGTAGAATAACTGAATGTTTCAAGAACAGGTTAGACCCTGGTAATCCCAGAAATGATGCTGTGAGAAAAACATTTCATACTATCAAATACTGAGAAACTCAGTTGAATAGCACCAGAGACAGGAACACTGGCAGTTTTCCAAATTGCCTGGTGCTAAATCCTAAGATTTATAATGACGTGAAAAGAAGATGTGCTCACCTTGTTACATCACAACACATGGCAACCCCATACAACCTTGTGTTCCGTCATCACTGCTGTTGAGCTTTTTCATTCGGTACTGGCGTATTTCTCTCACCAGTGTGTAAAATGCATCCTCGACACCCTGGGAAAAGAGAACAATGAAAGAAAAAGAGTAACTGACACAATCCAAGTTATAAACTCTCTCTCTCTCACATTTATGTGGATTCTAAGTACTAAATTAATGACCGAAAAACTGGATTATTTAGGAAGAGTACACCAAGCTTAGCATTTCTATAGGAATCACATTAACAGGCTGATAATTCAAATGGATTATTTTGCAAAAAACATGCCAGTAAAGGACACAGAACAACCAGATCTAAAGAGTCTATTCAGGAGGGCTTATGCCCTAAATTGTGTTGAGTGTTGGTAGAAAATGGATTAATGTTTATAAATATTTTTTAACCAAGGGTTTTCACAGAAATATTGGTGTCTGTTAATGTAGGATAAAAAATAAAAATGCCATAAAAATGGAATGTAAGTGAGTTCATTCTGGATGTAAAGAAAAAACTAGAACACTATCAGAAATCTGTAACAAAGAACATAGATCACCCCTTTACCAGATGTGATCAATCAAACTTCTCTGCCCTAAATAACCCTTTACGTAGACGCTGAAAACTCTATCATACCTGTCTAGTCTTGGCTGAGGTTTCAATGAAAGGAATCCCGTAACTCTTCGCTAGTTCATGGGCTTGTTTCGTGTCAACTGTCCTTGTTGGCAAATCACACTTATTTCCTACCAGCACCATAGGTACATCATCTGAGTCTTTTACACGCTTGATCTGTTCCCTAAAATAGGAAATATGTTATCAGAACATAAGGAAAACAAGCTTTCAGGAAGGAATAAATTGGTAGGGTAAAGAGAAACTGACAAACTTCATACAGGCCTAGACTTCTAGTATTTAGCTTCACGTTTTTTTAACTACTTCTAGAACACCGTGTGAACCATGAAGGCCAGTTTAGACTTGATGTAGCAGCCATAGGGAAGCTATAAGGACCAGTTCACCCCATCTGAAATGCGTGGCTACTCAATCCCGACACCTGCTCTAGTAAGCTCCAAAGACCTTGCTTCTGTATTTAACTGGCAACCAGAAATTTTACTTTAGATGAAGGTCTGAAGTATAAAAAGTAAAGCTCACTGCCTCTAAATAACTTTTTGAAGTTCCCTTGGGAGTGACAGTATTGAATGGAAAATAATCCATCCACTTTTCAAGATGGGCAGTGCTCTAACATTTTCTTCAAACAAAATTACAGCTGGGAGTCTAAGATATAAAACAGAAAACACTGGAACTACGCTTTTTTTTTTTGTGATGCTGGGGTTTGAACTCAGGGTCTACACCCTGACCCACTCCACCAGCCCTTTTTTGAAAAGGCTATTTCGAGATAGGGACTTGCAAACTATCTGCCCAGACAGGCTTTGAGGTTCCTTTTTCTTTTTTTTTTTTTTTAAGCTCTCTTGGGGATTGAACTCAGGGCCTCATGCTTACTAGGCAGGCACTCTACCACTTGAGCCATTCCACCAGCCCTTCAAGGTTCTGATCTCTTCCTCCTGAGTAGGCAAGATTACAGGTGTAAGCCACTGGTGCCCAGTTCACCAGAACTACTCTTAAAGGGGGTAAGAGTGATGAAGGATCTGCAACTCCCAGACACTCCACAAAGCACACTTGGGAAGTCATGGCTCTAGAGTCTCTCAACTAACACCGTCCAGGAGAACATGTGCAGTGATGGAAATGGTATCTAACATGTAGTCATTGGGCCTATGTAGCTAATGTGGCCAAGGAACCTTTCCTGTATTTTACTTAATTTTGATTAATTTAAATGTAAAAACCACATTTGGTTGTGGCTACCATACTGCACAGCACTGCTCTAGACTCTATCCTTGAGTTACACATTCATGTACCTAAATGACACCCTACTGGCTTTCTGCAGAATGTGCTTTGGGGTGGTGGTAGTAGTCTGTCTTGGTTTTGAGACAGGACTTGCTATGTACTCTGGACTGGTCTCAAAACTTGTGAACCTCCTGACTCCTCTTCTCAAGTGCTGAGATTACATGGATGTAGCACCATGCCCAGCAGTATCCCTATGTTAAGGGATACTGTAAGAAAGCTTAAAATACCTGGGACATGTCATTGTTGGAATACTACTGTTCTTTACATGAAACCACCTTCTTTGAGGATCCTTTTGGTGTCAGTATAATTCTGCTGTTTCTGAGCAACTGGTTTATTTTCAGCATACAGATATTAAATCTGTCAGTTTGCTACTCCCCTTTTCGCAAAAACTGCCAAATTTGTGGCTTCATGCAGTTGCAGAATAATCTCATTCCTACGTCTGCTTTACTTTCTCATTTTTCTCTTTGCCTTACTTCTTAAGCCTATTTTTCATTAATTTTATCTTGCCATACTATACACATTTTTACAAGATGCTTTAAAAAACTCTTAAACTCTTGGTCTTTCTCTCCCATATGTGGACATTAGATCAAGGGCAAACACAACAATGGGATTGGACTTTGAGCACATGATAAAAGCGAGAGCACACAAGGGAGGGGTGAGGATAGGTAAGACACCTGAAAAATTAGCTAGCATTTATTGCCCTTAACATAGAGAAACTAAAGCAGATACCTTAAAAGCAACTGAGGCCAACAGGAAAAGGGACCAGGAACTAGAGAAAAGGTTAGCTCAAAAAGAATTAACCTAGAAAGTAACACACACACGCACAGGAAATCAATGTGAGTCAATGCCCTGTATAGCTATCCTTATCTCAACCAGCAAAAACCCTTGTTCCTTCCTATTATTGCTTATACTCTCTCTTCAACAAAATTAGAGATAAGGGCAAAATAGTTTCTGCTGGGTATTGAGGGGGTTGGGGGGAGAGGGAGGGGGTGGGGACAGGGGGGAGAAATGACCCAAGCCTTGTATGCACATATGAATAATAAAATTAAAAAAAAAAAACAAAAAAACTCTTGGTCTGAGGTATGGCAGATAGAAAAATGAATAAATTTTTGTAAGCTAGAAGAAATATGACTTCTAGAAATGCAACAGATGTGTATTAAATACATTTGTCCCTTAGTATCCATGGGTCATTGGCTCATGCCCCCTCCCCTGCCAATGAACACCAAAATCTGGGGTGCTCAAATCTTATACAAAACATGGTAATATTTGCATATAACCTATGTACATCCTCCTGTGTACTTAAATCATCTCTAGATTACTTAAAATATCTTACACAGTGTAAATGCTATGTAAATAGCTGTATAACTACATTATTTAGGGAATAATGACAGGGAAAAGAAGTTTATACACATTCAGAATAGAAGTAATTTTTTCCCTGAGGTTGGTTGAATCTGAGGATGCAAAACTGTACTGACAGTATTTCCAGAGAGAAAATGGGAAGTAAAGAAGGTTTAGAAAAAACAATGAACTCATTTTTGCACTACTGGCTTCTGAGAGCAGACATCTTCCTATCAATAGAAGCAGGCAGACCACTCACAAAAGACGTACTATAGGCAAACACTGTTCTGAGTAACATACGTGTCAAGGTGTTTAACCTTCACAACTCTGTGAGATAGGTGCTATTAGCCAGATTTAGTACTTTGCCCCAAAGTCACAGAGCTAATAAACGATGGTGCCAGGTTTCAGCCACAGAATGGTCTGTATTCTTGACCATTATATTTGTGCCTAAAAAGCAGTGAGCTAGGGAACAGGCCTGGGGTTCTGCTGCTTGCTCTACTACTACAATAAAAGCCATGACTCCAAGACCCAGCAAATCAGCTTCTGAGCTCTATTTCTGATGCTATAAAATAAGAATGTTGACTGGGCATGATGGTTCATGCCTGTATCTCCAGCACTCACAAAGTGGAAGCAGAAGAATCACAAGTTTGAGACCAGCCTGTGCTACATAGAGAGATCCTGTTAATGAATAAGAAGGTTGTTCTAGAATTTTTTTATGGTCCATTCTAGATTTCCTCTGGAGAAAGCCTACCTTCATGGTCCTCTACCTCCCTTTCATCTTTACGTATTTGTTACTTCCTATCATCTTTGTATTACCCAGTAGCTTCATTTACGTATTATAAAACATTAGTTAAAAATATACTACAGAAAAGAAACTAGCATTTACTTTCATGAATACCCCAGACTCTCATGTGAAACAACCTAAAACCATCTTCCCTAAGTCTGTATCTCCCTTAAATCCAATTTGCGTGCAATGCTTCAGAATACACTTGAGATTCTGCCTATAATGTCCCTAGTACCTGTAGAGGTTAATATCTGCAAATGATTTGCTATTGTTGATGGCGAACACGCAGAGGAAGCCTTCGCCTGTCCTCATGTACTGGTCTCTCATGGCACTGTACTCCTCTTGTCCAGCTGTATCCAGAATGTCCAATAGACACGTTTCACCATCTATCACCACCTGCTTTCGGTAAGAATCCTGGGAGCGTGGAGGGCAGGGAGAGAGGGAGATTCAATTTTTATGAAACACCAGAGGGGATGAAGTGTTACCACGGACAAGTAAGCTCCTAAGCAAGTCTACTGAGGTCTATTTGATTTGTCCCTCAAACTGATCATGTGTAATCACAGAGAGTACGTCATGTTTTCCTAGGAAAAAGCCCCAAGTCCTACATGCCTGCAGAAAATGAAATGTGGTCACTCTGTTCCTGGAAATGATGGGGAAAAAATGAAATGAAGCAACTTCTGTACTGCAGTTAGAAAAGTAGAGGTTAAGTTCACAGTGTATTTTATATTTTACTAAGCTGTTTTCTGTGAAATAGACTGTTTTACTTGAGCTGTTTATCTTACTTTTAAAATTCTGAGCATACCTGCACCAATTATAACCTAGCCCTGAAAGCAGAACCATTTGTGTTTATGACTAAATATACAAATAACATTTTCTGGGTGCCAGTGGCTCATGCCTGTAATCCTAGCTACTCAGGAAGCAGAGATCAGGCAGACTGCAGTTTGAAGGCAGCCTGAGTAAACAGTTCATGAGACCCTATGTTGAAAAAACCCTGTACAAAAAAGGGCTGGTGGAATGGCTCAAGCAGTAAAAGTGCCTGTCTAGCAAGCCTGAGGCCCTGAGTTCAAATCCAAGTGCTGCCAAAACAAACGAAACCAACAAATACCTTTTGTTTCACAGAGACTATGATACCAAAACCATTTTTCTCATCATCACAGATTGTACCTTTGGGAACTATTCTTGAACCACATTCCTAAAGTTTCCACACAGGGCGCAAGTCCTCAGGAAGACAGACATACGTAATCATGTAAAAATAATTCTACTTGGCTTTCTGGCAATAAATTTTACTTGCACTTTAATACTGTCATCACACTTGGAAGAACTCTTGTGGTGTTTGAAATGTTCTATGCTGTCACCTAGGGGTGGTTACAGTAGTGTACACGAATGTCACCTAAGTTGTAGATACAAGATGTACTTTACGTATATAAATTAGCTCTCAATAAACAAAACCAAAAAATATTGCAACCAATTTTTTTTTTTTTGAAAGTACTGGAGCTTGAACTCAGGGCCTTCACCTGGAGCCACTCTACCAACCCTATTTTTGTGAAGGGTTTTTCAAGATAGAGTCTCACAGACTATTTGCCCAGGCTGGCTTTAAACAGCGATCCTCCTACAATAATCATTAGAGTTAGACATTTATAACTTGAAATGACGAAACCTTTGAAGTCTTCGACATCACTCACTGCAGAGTCTGTAACATGAATTTCTATGACAACAGAAGAATTCTTGAGTATTATGAGGTGCTTTACCATTCACAAATAATTTAAACATGTTTTTTCCCCAGTGCTGGGGATTAAATCCAGGACCTTACACGTGCTAGGCAGTGCTCTACCACGAGCTATCCTCTCAGCCCTTCTGTTTTCATTTTGTTTCTGAGACAGGGTCTTTCCACTACCTTTGCCTAGGCTAGCCCTCACAGTCTGATCCTTCTGCCTGAGATGACAGGCATGCGCCACCATGCAGGGCTTATTTGATCTTTTACAACATCCCTGTGTGATGGGCGCAGGCTGGCCTCAAACTCAGATCTTCCTGCCTCAGCCTTCCCAGTGCTGGGATCAAAGGCGTGGACCAGTAGCCCATGGAAATTTAACACTTGAGGAAAATGAGGCTTAGAAAGATTTACGTGATTTTTCTCAACATCGCATAACTAAATAAGCAAAAAGCAAGGACTCAAAATCTCAAGTTCTTTATACTCCAACAGTCTCGGTAGACTTGACAAAGTTAAAAATTGGAAGTGGAAGAACATCCAGATCTATGAATTCTGTATCTCTACCTTATTAGCTCCTATAAAATCAGACAATCTCCTTTCCCTTGACCTGCGTTTCTATTTATTAGAGCTGTCATAGATGAAGAAGCCGAATGAATGCAACACCGAGTGTGCAACAGTTTACAGAACTATTAAAAACAAATTGTAAACTTTTAAAAGAAAATATTTAGCAGCTAGTAAATATGAACGCTTTTCTACAAATGGGAAAAATTTTACTGTATTATCGAGTGCAGTACCCAAATAACTTTTTCCTTTCTCTCCCTCTTCACCTTTAAATAGCCACCTAGAGGGTGTGGGTAAGGAGAAACCGAAAGCAGGCGCTGGGGTCAGCTGGTGGACTATCGCGGGGCCTCACCTCTATGGTGGGATCATATTCATCCACAAAGTGGTTCTGGATTAGCTGGATGGTCAGTGCGCTTTTCCCAACACCACCTGCTCCAACCACCACCAGTTTGTACTCAGTCATTTCACACCGGCAAGAACCTGTGGGAGAGCTGCAATTAGGGTAAACGGGCAAGCCAGAGCTAGTGACTCAAAGCTTTCCCAAATCAAGAGTGAGAAAACCGGGGTTTCGAATGAATCGCTTCCACACACGTGACCTTGCACCTAATCCTCAAAGTGACGGGGAGCACAGAGACACTGGCAGGCTAAGGTGGGCCTGGGCGCCTGGACTCGAGCCTTGCAGCCACCGCCGCCGCGCCCGGGCCCTCCCTCAGCCCAAGGTGAAGGAAGCCCCCCTTCCTTCTCCCGCAGCCTTCTCAGCTCCGGTGGGCCTCCGGCCCGCGACCCCCTCCTACTCCCCCTTCCGGCTGCAAAGATCGCCCCGCGAAGAACCCCACGCCAAGGACCCCCGCCCCAGGCCTTTGTCTCGGGTCTGTGGACTCCGCCCGACTCCGGGCTCCGCCGCCGGCCCCCGCCGCCTGCGCGCTCGAGCCTTACCTCCAGCCCCGCTGCCCCCGCTGCCCACGGAGCTAAGACCTCAACCGGGAAAAAGGCTGGAGACCCCGGAACCGCCATGAACAGCCCCCACCAGGGAGCGGCACTTCCGGCCCCGCCCGCTACGTAATCAGTCGGCGCCCGGGGCGTCCAAGTCCCCGCCCCGGCCACGTGGGCCTGCGACCTAGGAGTCACGCGGCAGGCCGCACCCAGCCCCGCCCCTCCCACCCGGGACGTTTCAATAATGAAAGCGCTGGGTGCTAGTGTCTCAAAAATCAGTAAATCTTTATTCGCTTTCATTCTTTCGCCATTAACAGAAAACTGGAGAAAGCAAAAATGTTTTATGTTTACAAAGATAAACGGCCTCTTTACCCAGAGATCAAAACCTCAAACGACAACGGGGAAGAGAAGCGCCCTCCCCACATCCCCTGAGCTGACCCTTGTCATCTTAGACAAAGCCTTCGGTCCACTGGCCAGGGACTCTTTATGTGGCCAATTCGAGATGAGGGCCAAGAAATCAGACCAATCCATTCCCGTGATATAAAGTTGGACAGAAGCCACACCAAGGATCAAGTGCCTGTATCCTACAGTACACAAGAACCAGGCGGCCACTTATAAAAAAAACAAGATTCATTTCAGGCACAACTTTTTTATTTTTTTTTTTTTTACGTTTTGTTTTTAAATCAGTAAAAGAAACTGGGTCCTAGAAGCTGCAGTGATCTAAGCAGCAGCAAGTTTGTGCATTTCTTTTTTTTTGTTTTCGTTTAAATACGTTTAAATTATCACACTGCTGGCACACATCATATGCATGAAATTCTGCACCATACATACTAATTGTAGTAAAGTTATTTAACCCCCATCCCACCAAAAAAAAAAAAAAAACCCTACTCTGGAAGGTAATTTTCACTGAAATCTAATCAAACTTTGTTAAATGGATTGTGACAAGATTATAAATGGTATGAAAAATAACATCTTAACATTTGGCCATCAACTTAAGAAAAATGGTTTGCTATATAAATTTTTGCAAATTTTAAAAGGTAATATATTCTACCCTCATATGGTCCTCAGAATTAAAGCATAATGAACAGGAAAGAAAAAAGAATGCAACTGAGTGCTAAGGCAGAACACCTTGCCAGAAGTAATGAAGGTAGAGTATATACTAAATATCAAGTGCAGAATTTCATAGGGCCAACAAGGTAACAGTCTGTATTTTTCACTTACACAGGCGAGGTGGATTTTGCAATTACCAGTTGCGTTAAATGCACCAAATAAAGCTCCTAAAATTGATACTATAAGGCGCCACCTTAAGTTTTCCAGGCTGCAACTGTGCATAATTTTAAAATGGTTTCTTAAATTTATTTATTTTTTTTAAACATAACATGAGGAAGGTGTTAAAACTGGTGTAATAGCTCAATAGAATAAGTATTCCAGATTTTGGGAGGGATGAAGAGGGAGATATTCAGAACCCTTCACCAGAATCCCCCCAACTTGATCATAGTGGATTAATGATGTGCTTGTGGATGTGGTTAGTCAATGACACCAGCTTGACGGATCTTTCTTTCTGCACCAAATCCCTGTGAAGAAATAAAGTTAGTTAATGACTTGAGTGTATGACAATCAGCCACATTCACAATTCCAAAATGAAATATAAACAGTACTATTATATCAAATCCACTACCAATTCTTTCTGAAAGGAAGAAATCATACAAGCCCCTCCTAACCCATTATCTAAGCTATGTATCAGGAAAAGGCAAGATATGCACTTTTGTGTGTGTGTGTGCACACACGCACAAGAAATGCACTCAGGGCTTTCATCTTGAGCCACTCCACCAGCGCGTGTGTGTGTGTGTGTGCGTGCGTGTGTGTGTGTGTGTGTGTGGTGTGTCTGTGTGTCTGTGTGTGGTTTTTTTTAAAGGGTCTCTTGAACTATTTGCCCAGACTGGCTTCAAACCTCGATTCTCCTGATCTCTGCCTCCTGAGTAGCTAGGCACCGGTGCCTGGCAAAAGAAATGCACTTCTTATTGAAAGCAACCAGTGTATTAGAGGCTAAAGCAACGTGTAAGGGGTCCTAACAAGCAATGCCGAAGCTCCTTGCTTCATTAAGTCCTCTAACTTTATGCTGAAATGGGACTTCAAATAGTTTTTTAGCCTGTCAGTTGGATTCTCTCAAGCCTTGCATGGCATCATACCATTGAGTTATCTGGTCCCCTTGGCTGACGAAGAACCATTAGACGAGGAGCACTGGCATCATCCAGGGTGATGTTCTTCAAGCGATTGACCAACCTGTCAGGTCGAGGAGCTGCAACAGCCTTGGGGCCCTCACTGTAATGAAATCAAGAAGTGAGAAGAATCCACACTTGGTGGGAAAAAAGCAAGTGCTACCCAAATGACTCACTTTTAATGAGGGGAAGTCTTGCCTCATCCAGACAGCTAACAAGACAAGATAGACAAGTTTGTTTAAGTGTGTTGCACATATCCCCCCCAAACTGGAAAGATCGTCTTTGTGAGGATCAACCCTAGACTTGTCTACAACAGAGACATGATACATAAACTACAAGGTAGTTATGTGTTGAAAACCTAAGAAATGTGAAATATGAAGAAAATAGCTTTAGAGTCTAGATCCTCTCATGGTAACAATGTTGAGATTTAAAAAAAAAAGAAAAAAAAAGTCTGCCTAGCAAGCTGGAGGCCCTGAGTTCAAACCTCAGGACTACACCCAAAAAAAAACAGCATATAAATCAGGATGACTAAGGTATAAAAATCAGAATTTTAAGAAGCATGTATCTTAGAAATGACTTGATGAAAGAAAATGAGCTAATAAGCAGAATTAAGAACAAGGACTAAAGGATTAAATTTTTTTATATTTAAAATCTAGCATACATAGTGCTAGCACGGCAGAGTGCACAAGTGTTTCACTGGGACAGGTTTATAAGGCTAAAGGTCAAACAATAAAGACTAGAGGTAAAGATCACAAAACCAGATATAGAAAGTATCAAGCAATTACAAAAAAAAAAAAAAAAGGCAAGAGGGGAAAATAGCAGAAATGGAAAAGAAATCTAACAAAGAAGATACTACAGATGTTAACAGACAGCCTAGTGTGGTTACTAATCCAACTACAATTAGAGAAAAAAAACTCACCAGACTCGCCAGACATTACAGGCACTGCACTTGCCAGTGCGCTGGTTAAGAATCACTGAGAACTCCACCTCATCTCCTGCCTGTAGCTCAATGCCATCCTGAACTTCCTTCACGTGGAAAAAGAGCTTCTTGCTATCTCCTACTTCATAGTTAATGAAGCCAAACTGGAAAACCAAAGAGTAGAAAGGAGAACATGTCACAGGAAGGAAAAGCACAATGCAGAAAGGGGATTTATAAAACATAGCATTGATACCCTATTTAATCTCACTCCAAACTCATTTTCCACACTATGTATTTAAGTCACTAATAATCATTCATATTTCCTCTTTGCTAATATTGTCACTCCTTTTTATTTTCTTTCTAGGTTTTCTTTGAATTTTTTTATTAGGTATCCAAACCATTGAAAAGACTAAAAGTCAAAATAAAAAACCAAATGAATGTTGATGGGCTATTTGTTGGCTGAAAAAATGTCAGTGTTTTGGTTCCCAACACATGAAAGGATCAAATTCAGGTCCAGAGATGCTGCACTTACCTGATCTTTCACACACTCCACCGTGGCCCTACGCAGGGGTGTGATGTTGTAGGCCATCGTCTGTGCATTTTGGCCCAGGACACACAATTGGAACTTGACACTCTCCCCTTTCTGCAGGCAATCCCCTTTGTTGGCCATCCCAACTATGCCAAATGGATAGACTTCACCTTTCATATCCCCTGTAAGGAGAAACATATAAATCTAAAAGGTAATATTCACAACAGTGCTTTGATGGTTTTAATACCTCTAAAAATATTTTACATGCCTTTAAAAATATTTTTAAATCCTGAAGTTTAACATTAAAGCTTAAAAGGAATCCGAATACTGGGGGTATATTGTGACATTTACAAAAGTTCTTACAATATATCATAACCGAATTCACCCCTCCCATCATTCTCTTTTAGCCCTTTCTCCCTCCATTCATGTAAAAGCTTCAACATGTCTCATTTTTCCATTTTCATACATGAGTACATAATAGAGAAAAGACCTTACTTGGTGTGTAAAATTCCAGTACAACTTAAAGATGGCCAACATTAAGGAAAAAATAAATAAAAGGAATCTGAATGTTAAATAGTAATATGGAAACAAATATGAACTATATGAACTATATTATAAGCTCATTAGCATCCTAGCTAACTTTTAAATTGCATTTATGAACTTAAAATAACACTAAAATTTATAATCCCATGCACTATCTTCTAAGCACTATAGGTTGCTAATTTATCCACGACTATCTTCTTACACACATGATCTGAACAAACCACTCAAAAATATTTTTGCCTCATACTCAACCACACAGCAAACTAGCCAGGCATAGGCAAAACAATGCAGATACATTGACATTCACCTCCTTTATTCTGATCCACGTTCTCTCAAACCACTGGCTACTTTCTCCTACAAAAGGGCTCATAAGCTTTTTTTTCTTTTTGGCAGTACTGGAGTTTGAACTCACACTTGCTAGGCAGATGCTCTACCACCTGAGCCATACCCCAGTACTTTTTTATCATTTTTAGATAGGGTATTGTATTTTTTGCCTGGTGCTGGCTATGGACCCCAAACCTCCTACCAATGGCTCTAGTGTAGCTGAGATAAAAGGTGTGCTAACACTCCTGGCTTATTTGTTGAGATGGGGATCTCATGAACTTTTTGTCTCGGCTGGCCTGAAACTGCTCTTCTTCTAACTGGGATTACAGGCATAAGCCACCATACTCAGCAACTTTTTAAGGATAGTAAATATTGGGGTCACAAGTCATTCCATGTCTATTACAACTACTTGACTCTGCTGTTGTCATAAAGCAAGCAACCAAAGGTAGTATGTAAACAAACAGTTGTGGTTATGTTTCAAGAAAACTTCACTTATAAAAACAAGCCTTTCTCTTCCCTAAATTCTGTACTACAACAGTAATAAGCTGCCAGCAAGCCATAAATAAGTGAATGAGAGTTCA